GTATGATACACAATAATGGGGAGGTAAAATTGATAGGATTTGTAGATATGGGAGTGGAGGCCGACTATCTTGAACAAATGTGCACTGGAAGATCAGAAAAAAATTAGCAGCCTATGTGTTGCAGTTTTTATACTTGGGGTTAAATGGGTTTCGCTTCCCCTTTGCGTGCTTCCCTGTGACACAAACAAAAGCTATAAATTTGCATTTTCTGTTCTGGAAAGCTGTACAATATTTAAACACATATGGTTTTAAAGTTTGTTTTGTTTCCATGGATGGTGCACAAACAAACAGAGATTTTGTAAAAATGTTTTTTAAAGAATCTTCACCAGAAGCAGAAAATTTTTCAATAAAAAATATTTGGTTTCCAGAACATCCCCTAATAATTTTTATAATGGATTATTCACATGTTATAAAACGTATACGAAACAACATTTTGAAAAGTGGGAAAGACTGTAAACGTCAGTTAACGTATCAAAAGCCAATTTTATTGGAACATTGGATCAATGCATTTAAATGGGACAGGGACACTAATACTTTTCCAATTTATCATAAACTTAGTAACGAACATCTTTTCTTAACACAAGAATAAAAAATGCGTAACAAATTAGCAATTAGCAGAAGATGTTTTAGACAACGAAATGTTTAATTTAATGATGTCTTTTCCAAAATTCATTGAAGAAACAGGGGACGTTCTTAATGACACAATTAATTTGCTGAAAGCAACAAGCACAATGGTTTCCGTTTTTCCTATTACTGATATGGAAGACATTCGCATAGAACAGCTTAAACAAACATTAACATGGTTTAAAGATTGGGAAAATTTTGTCGTTCATAAGGATGACGTTCCATCAGGTAAAAAAGAAAAAATGTTAATTTCTTATCAGACTAGATAAGATATTTTTTCTTGTCTCATCGGTTTTACACAACTATGCAAAATATGTTAAAAACAAATAGAGCTTCTTTAGTACCGGCCCGCATAAATAGCGACGTAATTGAAAATATTTTTGCCAGCAAAGAGGAATAATAAACGAAAACAACACTAATCCTACATTCTATCAGTATGTTAAAAATATCAATTCTGTTATAATTGGTCAAAGTGTCATATCAAAGTCATCCAACACTGGTTCGGGAAATTACAACCCTGTTAACATTCTATCTACTCAAAAGTCAAGAAAAAGACCATCTGTATCAGCAAAACGAAACCCTCTTAAGATTTTAAACATCTGATTTTTAAGAATTTCCGTTTTTTGTGTGTGTGTCTGTGTGTGTTTTCTTCTTTTTGTTTTGTTAATTTGGTAGACTGAGCAACGCGCGTGTGGACTGGCCGTACCGCTTGCTCATTCTTCCTAAAAACCCTTATAATGCAGATAAAGTCTACATTTTAAGTTGTTGTTTGTTTTACTTTTTTTTTAATCTGTGCTGTATTGATTCATTACGATAAACAGGTATAGAATGCATCACCTGACGCTATGCCACCATACATACCATATTCATTTCTTCATCTGTCATGAAAACATCAAGCTTAAATTATTATTTTTGTGTTAACTTTTAAAACTGCATGCCTTTGTTGTTGACGTTTTGTACTCAACACTTCATACATATCTAAAGACATGTTTTGTATAAATTCATATTGACAATCTGTACCATTAGTTTATGATAATTCGTATAGATTGTCAGCGATACACGTTACATGCGCGTTATACAATGTAAACGGATGTAATTTATTTTAGCTCGTCAATGAAAAATATACATGAATATATCTCCCCTATTTATTAAATTGTCCAAAATATTTTGTTGTTAACTGTCCACACTAAGCTAATCACTGAGAAAGACTCTATTCTTTATTTTTGAATCGTTGCACCCGAGCAACACGCGTACCGCTTGCTCGCTCTACATGTGCGTGCCCGGAGACTTAATCATTGCTTGAGACTTAACCATTGCTGTTGTAATATATACGAAACAGTCATTTTTTATGCCTTGTGTTTCATATTAAAAACAGAACGAAAACTACCTTTTAAATAATTTGATACACACAAACTACCCCTTTAATGGTGTGATAAAAAAATAAATGCATTGTTTATGTCATATGCTTACTTATTTTTAAGTGAACATTTACGTCAAGAGATATATGTATGTTTCATCATCGAACGTCAAATATCTTTACTCAAATTTTTAATCGTAGGAAAAACACTATTTAATTTGTCATCATTGTCTCATCACTGGTTAGATACTCATCTAAATGACATCAGTTCATCAAGTGGTACATCATCGGACAGAAAATGATATATATGGTACCAATCTTGCATCATCGTTTAGATAATCATTTATGAGACATCAGTAATTCATCACAGGACAGACGCATACCTATGTGACATAGTCATCTAACAATCTTTATCTACGTTGCATCAATCAAAGGATTCATTACAAGTGATTCATTATTGGACATTATGTATGTGATATTCGTGTTTCATCATAGAACGAAGTCTTACATACGTGACACCAAATATTTATCATTGGGCGGATTCATGAACGTGACACCAATATGTATCAACAAATGGATACTCATCTAAAAGACTTGTTTAATATCCTTTATTATCAATTATCAAATGAACTCAAAATAATACTACTTGAGTCTGTAAGTTTTAATCAAAATGTCATATCGTCTAATTTGTGTATAAGTTTGAGCTACATTTAGTATGTATATGAAATATTAGTATAAGAAAATAATTTGTTCAAATCGAATGTTCATAAACAATAGCTGTGATATTTCAGAAGATCTTATCATTTTGTATAAATAGAATAAAAAATATATAAATTAATATATAATCTGATTTCAAAGAGTTCATGCTAAGAAAGTTATAAATGCTTAAATTGAAGTGAACTTATATGATAACCGCCATATGAACACATCTGCGTTTGTTTCAAAATTCTAAATTTTACCAGTTCAAGTTAAATGTTGAATTCTGCTTAAGCCGGTGCTAGGGGGCGTGGACGGTAGTTTGCAGTTGACAGTACCGTCCATGAACAGGCTCAATCAAACCGAGCCTGCAACATTTTCAATTTTGCCGTGTTGGGCTTTCTTTCTCTATTTTACCCTTAGAGCGCCAAACTGTCTTTCTACGAATTCCAGCTGAAGTACTGTACACACTCGTTGCGTTTTTGACACCATTTTTTTGTAATGAATTTTAAAATTTGAAGGGAAAAAAGAAAGAAAAAAAGGAAAAAGGGTAAAATATTCCAGATATTGTTAAAAAAAATTCAAACAGGAAATATTTTTATATCAAACCCCAAAACAAATACAGTAGAATCCCTACTTAAGACCAACTTAGATTTAAGACCACCCCACTATTAAGACCATTTTTTAAGAACGGAATTTTATGTTCTTTATGTCAAAAGTAACATGCTGCAGAATTAAGACCACCAGGTTATCCACTTTTAAGACCACCAGATTCAGTCCCAATTCTTTGATTTATTCTATATTTGAACTCACTATTGAGACCACTGAATTTTCAAAGTCAACACATTGAATGCTTTTAGGCATGACATTTGATTTCACAAGGTGTGAAAAACTGTCATTTGTATGAAATAAGGTGTAAAAATTACTGTGGTTTCATGTTGCTTTCAGCACCTTTATTTTGCGACGAAATAATTTCTTATATGAAAGGTGAAATATGTACATTATACAACCATTAATTTTGAAATCAAACCAAAGAGAATTTAATATTAAATTTCTTCAGACAAATGTACATATATTGTATTTGTAGGTACATGTTTGTTCATACAAAATGACTAAAATAAAGTATGTAAGCAATAATAAGAATATCCAAAATTAAGACAACAAGGAAAGGCGGCGTTCAATGAACGCAACCCCCATATGACCCTTTAAGACCACTTTGGTCCAGTCCCGATGCTGGTCTTAATTGAGGATTTTTTTCTGTACTGTTACATTAAGGCCGTTGGTTTTATCCAGATGAAACATTATGAAACATAATATAAGGGATGGTCAAAATGATTTGATTCGAAAAATATAGTAGGTAAGCAATGTCTCGGAGATACTGAAAGAATGATTGATATTCAGTAGTTGGTATAAGCTAATATAACTAACTACACAAAAGGCTTCGGCCGTATATACAGAAACCAAGAGACCAATGATAAAAAGGCTTTTTTATAAGCATACCTAACAACTTGTATTATCAGAACAACATTCGGCATTCGACTTAAAATCAAAATAGCTCAAGGTTGCCCTTTCACAAAGTTTAATACTAATACAAGTAAATCAAATTGATAAATCATACACGGCAATACAGTAAAGAATAACACATTTTATATAAAGAATGGTTTTGTAAGCGGTACGGCCAGTCCACGAGCGCATTACTAACCATTCAATCAATTAAAACATGAAAAATTATTTGTCTTCCGATCGAAAATCAAAACAGCTCAGAGCTGCCCTTCTACAAATTGTTAAACAAATGAAAAATTGACAAAGATACAGCATATATGTAAGAAAATGTTTTTTAAGCTACATGCACATTACTATTTGAATAAATAAATAAAAATAGAGACCTACATGTAGCTTATTACTGAACATGCGCTTTAAACGTATGGATATATTTATATTTAGTCCATATATATGTGAGTTCTGCAATTCTTTCATGATTCTGATAAAATTAACTCACATTGATACAAGATATATTTACAATGCATGTAGGTTAAATATTTGGCATGTAGCACCAACTTGTGAGCCTAAAAAAGTAATGTAAATCAATTTCCAAAAATAAAAATGAAAAATGGCCAAGTACTGTAAAGTATTTCTTAACACAATTAGTTACGCAAATTTCCTAAGAAACTATGTGACAATGTCCAGAGCTTACATATTTTGACCCCTATGTTTCTATATAAGCTTTTCATTTATCATACCCCAGGGTCATAGATGGCCCTTTCAAGTGGTGACTTATTTTACATAGACTTATATAGGAATTTAAACACACGGATCTTAAGTTTTACCAAACTAAACCGCGTGATACAGACTTGATCACTTGGTAGAGCCATTTTTCAAAGGTACAATCAACTGGGTGAATACCGTCTAAAAAGAGGTCACTTGACAAGAAGGATGAACGATGGTTACCCCTCTTTCTAAATTTCATGCTGTCACAAACAAATTTCAGAGAAACAAAATTAAGTTGACTGTTCAACAGTTACTATCTAAAATGACCATTTATAATTTCAATTTGGTCATTGATTAAGGAGTCCTCAAAACACCCCAAGTTTGGATCATTTTTACTTTTATTCCAAATAGATGGGAATATTGGGGGTGCCTCGAGGAAACCCAAATCAAAGCCATTATGATTTTGTAGAGAAAGAAGTTTATCAAAACTTGGCTTAAGTGAATCCAAAAGAGAATCAGCCGATTGAAATGCTGGCCTTAAGAAACGATGTGGACGTACCAGGTTTGTGATATCACAAGTTGTGTGCCAAAACAGAACCATTGTTTTAGCATCATGTCTCAGCAAAGGGCAGTCTTGAGCTATTTTTTCCTCCAAGAAAGAAACACCTTCAGGAGTTGTTCGCCCCCACAAAACCAAAAAGTTAAAAAAAAGAGGTGTCAGCATAATTGCTGACAGCCTCAAGTTTGTTTTTTAAATACCTTCCCTTACTGTCGGAAAGAATAATAACATTAGAATATACACGCTCGAGTTTAGACTCATTCTTAACCTTTTCTAGGAAACATTTTACACGCCTAATTTGTGACGTTTCCTGAGGTGAAGCCTCGGCCATAACAATATCTGGAATATAACTTCCTTTACAATGATAAAAAACAAAAACAATCAAAACCCCCAAAAATACGTAATCAAAAGCAGAAAATATTTAAGTATTTAAATAGACCTTTACTTGAATACGTATACCATGTATACCATAACACTGGGAAAAAAAGACAGAAATACAGGGTAGCAAAAATGTTAATCGATCTTTATTTTCATAAAATTTATCTATGGTCAGGGTAGCAAAACTGGCAACCGAGGGAATTACAATAACACATACTAAAATTATAGCTTAATAAAGTCTTTGAAATGAAGTTATTAAACATAACAATTATCGTATTACTGTCATTTACAGTTGCAAAATAATTTAAAGAAGAAACTGAACTACCCGTTTTAAAATAAACGAAGTTTTGCATTTGCAATATTGAATAAGACAGGCCGTACTACATGTATGAATCATAGATGAATTTTTCATGTTCTAATTACATGTACATCTATTCACACTATTTAAAGGCACATAAAGCTTCAAACATTAATATTATTTCCCTTTTTATTTAAGGTATATGTTACATGTTACCCATGAGAATAAAACAGCGTGGAATGTGAAAAAGAATGTAATTAAAATAAACGAATAAACTGAAATAAATTTGATATCATGTTTTTGGCTTACTTGCTTTACAAATGAACTAAGTGTCACTTAGAAAGCGGTATAAACAAAAAAAACATTAGGGTGGTAGATATATAGTTTCATAAATAAAAACTCGAGGTATTTGGGGGTATCAAAGTGATGTCGTTGTTGTGATTTTCTGCTGATTTTTGTTTAAGTACGAAAATATTTGTTCAAACGTCGCAAAATAATGGAGTTGTCATGGTCATGCGGTACGGCCAGTCCGCACGCGCAAAACTGAATGACAAACATACACATTATAAAAAAACTGTGTGTGCGTGTGATTAATAATTTAATTTAAACTCTTATTTACAGAAAGGACAAATAAATGATACATTATCATCTTCATATATTTCCCATTGTGCGGAGGTAGTAATTCCAACACATCGACCATGAACCCATTCATTGCAGGAGTCACACTGAATCCAGTCGGGGCTATTATCATACTTACCACAACAAACGGGACAAATGTTCTCATCGTCTTCTTTTTCCTCTATTTTCTTTTTTTCCCTTTCTTTTCTTCGTTGATGATGACCTTTTACCTTTTCCTTTTGTTACATTGGTCGATGGTGAAGCTACTACCTCAGCAATATTTTCAGTTGTTTCAGATTCATTAGTTTCTTCTGTTATTATAACATTTGTTATTCTGTTATCAAATACGGATGGTGTAAGCATTGTATCACAATTCTGTGTTATAGTAATTAACTGATCATATATATATTGCTGTGTGTGTTTTGACATTGTTGAAATTTCGTAAGCCGAGCATAAAGTTTGTAACTGTTTTTTTTTTTGTATAAAATTTATCATTAAAATAATTGGGATCTGTTAAAACACCAGCATTTAGTTTTAAATGGGAGACACATTTTCCCTGTGACTTATCACTTTTAAGTTCGTCGAATGACACTTTTCTAATATTTTTATTTTCTTTCTTTCCCATAACCTTTTTTCTGTGTGCTTTTGATTTTTCTGTTTTCATGAAGAGTAAAAAATCTTTTCTAAAATGTGACGCAGAGACATTGATAAATTTTGACACAATTTCCGTAAAAAGTTCCAAAACATATTTTTCCGTGGTAGTTTTAAACAGATCTGTCCACTTATGCAACAACTCGCTTTCATTTAAAATCTGGCTTTTTATTATTTCGATAGTTTTCTCGCCGGGTTTATAAAGATTAGAAAATGTTTCCAAATGTCTCAGTTTTAAATTCAAACTCTGACAAAATGTAAATGCAGGGTATGTAATGTTTGTTAATCCTTCCCTTAAATTTTGCTTTCTTGCAGTGGTTTTTAGTGTTTCGGGACATGAAGAATCAATAGATAGGGTATTGTTAGAAGTAACTATCTGTGATAGAATATCAACTTTCTCGCGGCTTTTTTTAAGAGCATTTTCCCTTGATGGTTTGCGTTCATTGAACGCCGCCTTTCCTTGTTGATCTTGCTTATCATATTTTAAATAAAGAATTTTGTACCATTTTTTGATACTTGTATTTAATTTTTGCAATACAATAACCACCGATATAACGTGTTACACCTTTCCCTTCTTCAAATCCTCCAGTTGGTATAGTTCGTTCCTGAATTTCTGAAGTAGAAACATTTTCAGAGTTTCTCTTTAAAAGATATTTTTATCCCCCGCCGAAAATTTTCGGCGGAGGATATAGAAATAGTCTCCGTCCGTCCGTCCGACCTTCCGTCCGTCCTTCCGTCCGACATTTTTGTCCGGAGCATATCTCTAAAAGTATTTGAGTTATCAACTTGAAACTTCATAGGTGGATAGACCTCATTGAGGAGGAGTGCAGTGCACAAGAATGATAACTCTACCTTGCATGATTTTTGAGTTATTGCCCTTTGTTATTTTTCAAAATTGATTTTTGTCCAGAGCATAACTCCAAAAGTCTATGAGATATTAACATGAAACTTCATAGGTGCATAGATCTCACTCAGGAGGTGTGCAGTGCACAAGAATGATAACTCTACCTTTCATAATTTTTGAGTTATTGCCCTTTGTTATTTTTCATACCTAATTTTTCACATAACTCAAAAAGTGTTTGAGATATCAACATGAAATGTCATAGGTGGATATATCTTATTGAGGAGGAATGTTGTGCGCAAGAATGATAACTCTTTCCTATACAATTTTTGAGTTATTGCCCTTTGTTTTTTCATGCTATTTTGTCCAGAGCTTATCTCAAAAAGTATTTGAGGTATCAACTTGAAATTTCAAAGGTGGATGGATCTCATTGAGGAGGAGTGCAGTGCTTAAGAATGATAACTCTACCCTGCATTATTTTTGAGTTATTGCCCTTTGTTATTTTTCAAAATTAATTTTTGTCCAGAGCATAAATCAAAAAGCCTTTGAGATATCAACATGAAACTTCATAGGTGCATAGATCTCACTCAGGAGGTGTGCACTGCACAAGAATGATAACTCTACCTTTTATAATTTTTGAGTTATTGCCCTTTGTTATTTTTCATACTTAATTTTTCAATTCAATTTTTTTCTCAAAAAGTATTTGAGGTATCAACTTGAAACTTTATAGGTGGATAGATTTTACTGAGGAGGAATGCAGCACACAAGAATGATGACCTACTCTGCATTATTTTTCAGTTATTGCCCTTTGTTATTTTCAGCCATCAGTATTCACATAGGTTTCAAATCTGTAATCACTATAGCCATCAGTTTTCATTACCAAAAGACCTCTTAAAATGGAGTTATTCTGCTCTACTACATATACATTCTTCCAATGAGCAAACACATTCGGCGGGGGATGGCCATGTTGACATGGCTCTTGTTGAATTTTAAATGCTGTTGCCGAAAATAAAATGAAACCTAGGTTCGGCGTATAACTTTTAATTTCTCGAATGACCTTTTTACATGATTCAAAATATGTTTTGCTCATTAAATAAGTATTAACCTTTGCGCCAAAGCACAGAGCATGTTTATTTTGCGACCAATCATTTTCTGGAAAAGTGTCTACACATATTTGTTTTAAATATAAAAAATACTTGTAAACCAGGAAAAAAAATTCATGTTAGTTTTAACTTCTTCAATAACGTTTTTCATTGATTCATCAAGGGGAGTTGAATTGTATTCTTCTTTCATTTCTTTCAAAATTTCAACAGGGGAAATGTTATCTGGAATAGGTGAGGCGGTATGGACTTTTTCTTTAGAAACAGTGCTATCTTGGTCTAAATTAAAGTTTAGAAGGATTTTATTATCATCAATACAAAAACTATCATCAAATTCATCATCGGCATCAGCGTTATCATCATCATTAATAATTTCCGCATCAAAATAATCGTTCATTAGATTCCAATCGATTGGAATAAAAAGATCAGTTAACACGTCAGATGAAATAAATTCATTTTTGCAACAACTGCAATCAGGTAAAAGGTCTTTTGATGATACTTTATAGAAATTGTAAACTTGTTAAAGGGTGTTTTGTAACTAAATGTGCACTGAAATTCTGCAGTAATTGCACGTCCTAATGCAACACCAATTTGACCTGGTATATGTGCATTTTCGCAATCTACAACGACTGATTCAAGTGACATGCCCTGTGATTTATGAATTGTAATACCAAACGAAAGAATTAATGGAATCTGTTATCTTTTTGCTAGTGTTTTTCTTGAACCTGGTCTATTTTTGTAAAAGCATATTGGCTCAATGTAACAGTAATGTCGTGTTTTGGAAAATAAACAACAATTTTGTCTTCTAAGAAATCTTTAACCTTACCAATCGATCCATTTACAAGTACACTCCTTAAATTAACAACAAGCATCACAGGGCATCCAACTTTCTGACCCAATCTTTTAGGTGCTTGAAATCGTTAAAGGTAATATGAATCACCCTCATCTTGCGATTCAAATATTTTTACAGTTCCTGGGAATAATTTGTCCTGATTAAAAAGAGTTGTTTTATAATGACGTGCGAAAAGGTGCAATGTATTTTCTTTAACCTGAATATTTCTTTCTAAACTTTTTATGTAATTGATGGTATCGAAACTTATGTTTCCGTTTTCAAGAGAATTCACACAAGAAATCAAGGCGTTTTCTTTTTTTCGAAAAATTGTTTCTAAATTTATATGGTGAAGCAGACCTAAAGTAATCCGACTCAAAACAATATTTACCTGCTTCACCGTACAGTTGATCTGGTACGGGAGGAAGCTGAAAAAAGTCACCTGAAAAAATAACTTGAATACCCCCAAAATACCTCTCATTTTTTCTTACCGACCTACACAATAAATCGACGGCTTCAAACACTTTCTTGCTAATCATAGAGCATTCATCAACAATGAGGGTATCACAGCGTATTATACGCTGTCTTGTCTCATGATACCTCTCATCTGTACATACTAAATTAGCAAGTTCTTGTGTATGAATGCCCCCATCACCCAAACCGCACCACTTATGTAGTGTTTGTGCAGAGCGATATTGTGTTACAGCTATACCCGTACTGCATGTAATGGAAACTACTTTCCCTCTTTTTGTCATATCGTCATAAAATTTACTGATAACGTAAGATTTTCCAGTGCCACCCTGACCAGTTAAAATAATACTATGGCCACTTCAGTTAAAGTTCAGTTTGAATATTTACATTCAAAAACTTTCCAAAAATTACGAGAAAATTTCCAACGAGCGACTGCAAACAGCTACCACGCGAGAAATGACGGAGACGATACAATAAACGAGTAGTCGATGGTGAGTACACCGTTTCGGTACCGGTTTAATAAGCGCCAAACGCAGAACCGGGCTCAGGTCGCGTTTTTTGTTGGACAGGACTCTAAATTTACTTTCGGTTTTATTAAATGTTGATTTTTTTTATTAAATTGTCACATATAGATGTTTATACTGATTGCATCTGGAAGCTAATTCGATATACTATTGATTTACACAGAAAAAGTCACGGTAAGATTTTATTTAACATCTTTATTTGGTTCCGGGAATTTGTGTTTACATTTTCATGATTCTGGAGTCTGTAATCTTTACTTTATTGAGACTTGATGGTAAAAGGTATTTTTTTTCAGATATGTAAAAGTTGATCGAAAACCAGTTGTATCGTTGTAGCAGATGTTCCATTCGTGTTTAAATATTAAAATATGTTTGACAGAGTGTTTACAGGAGCGTATCACGTTGGGGGGGGGGGGGCAGGATCTGACCCCAAGCGTTTGTGTTATGAATTGCTGCTCTATCGCAGGCAATTGCTTTATGGACAGAAAACACGACGAATTAATAATGTACATGTGAACATCATTTTATTATATATAGCAAAGTGTTTTCATTAATCAGTTATATAAAAAAAACCAAAGAAATTGTACAGCATATATTGTTGGTGTTAAAAGTGTTATATCATAAATTAATTCATTGATAAAAGCTCTAGATAAATATAAAGAAAGCAGTAGCAGCAGAAGCAGCAGGAGAAGCAGCAGTAGCAACATCAAGCAGCAATACTAGAGTAGTAGTTTTAGTAGTAGTAGTAGTAGTAGTAGTAGTAGTAGAAGAAGACGAAGAAGTAGTAGTAGTAGTACATAATACTGCAATTCTTTCTTGTTTTCTACTTTAAACATAATTCATCTTAAAAGTTTGTTTTTTCTTTATGGATTTCACATTGATACTGTACAGAAAATATAGCGACTTTACATCTTGAGTGATCGAGCAAATGGAGAAAATATGAATCCCTAAAGAAAGTCCAACACGGCAAAATTGAAAATGTTGCAAGCTCGGCTTGATTGAGCCTGTTCATGGACGGTACTGTTAAAGCAAACTAACGTCCAAGCACCGGCTTAAGCAGAATTCAACATTGAACATGAACTGGTACAATTTTGAAGGTCTCAAGTGCCACGTCCAGCATTATTTTCGGCATAATCTGGTATCTGAGTAGAACCACCGACTCAGGTAGCTGGATAAATTCCACACATGAACGAATCCTAAGTTATTGACAGGATTTGAACTCAAGCCAAGGGATTTTGTTGGTCGACGACCTTAACCATCCGGCCACCGAAACTCCAAGTAAAATAATAAGAATACCCCAAAAGTCTCGTTTTACTGGAACTCCATTAAATCGGAGGCTTTTTAAAGATTAAGCATGATCAAATAGAATAGAGAAAAACAGAATCCCTAAAGAAAGTCCAACACAATCATTTTGAAAATGTTGCAGGCTCGGTTTGATTGAGCCTGTTCATGGACGGTACTGGAAAGTGCAAGTTACCGTCCACGCCCCCTAGCACCGGCTTAGGCAGAATTCAACATTAAACACGAAAATGGTGAAATTTTGAATTTAGAATCATCCGCAGATGTGTTCATACGGCGGTTATCATGGAACCTTCAATGTGACACAGTAGTGCCATTCCATGAAAAGCGGCGTATGGTCCCCAAGTAAAAGAATGCTTGTGCCCTAAACGAGAAAACAATGGGCGGAACTAAATAAAATGGAATTTTGAAAGGGGATCTGAGGTTATGAAGCCTGCATATCACAGATAAGACGTCAAAAGACAAATTTAAAAAGCAGGCAACATATCCTAAGGGTGATTATACAGTATTCAAGTAGGAATACTGGAACCATCCATGTTGAAAATGGTCAATTAGAAACTTTATTGCTTTGCAACTCATTTGAAATAAAGCATATCATTCGATTTATTCGCAAGCAATTTGTGTTTTTCAATTCCTGCGTGTCAAACCTTTCAGTACATTTGTTATAACTTTTAACTATCATGGAAAAGATTAAATTGTGTTTTGTTAATTTTGTTTATAAATGTTGATGTAACGATGTATTGTAATAATATTTAAATAAATTAGCTAGGTCTTGCGCTAATCTGTGCTTTTAAATCATAATGTTGTCTACCTGATCCAGTTTTCTAATTATAAACTTTTGCGTTCATTGAACGCCGCCTTTCCTTGTTGATCTTGTTTATCATATTTCACTAATCTTCCTATAAAATAGTCATGAATAAAATTATAGTATGGAGGCTTGTTTTCTAACTCCTTCATGTTTATAAATATCGACACAAAATTGACCTCAATTTTTTCAAGGCATTTGATCTAATTAATTAGTTGATTAATGTTTATTCAATAAATAGAGCATATTGAACGAGTGTTAAGTAAAGACTGAATTCATTAAACTAGTTAAATACATTCAAATTTTATTATGCAATAGAATAGATAAATACAGAATCCCTAAAGAAAGCCCATTACGGCAAAATTGAAAATGTTGCAAGCCTCTGGCGATTATAATGTTTTATTTATCGCATACCGAAAATAATAATTCTGACAGTAAAATAAATCACATTTTTATAGACGCGCACAAAGTGTACATTTGTTGAAGTATCAGTTGAATAGGACATTTGTTTGTTACTCACAACATTTCGTCATATATTTATATTGTAAAATTGCCTTTCAATAAAAGCCTGTGAAATTGGTTATCGCATAGGAGCAACTGCTCAATATACACTACAATAAGTGTTTTAGTGATCTAATAAAATCGGTAAACAACTGGATAACAATTTGTTTTCTACAATCCATTCCGTGTCACAAAGCAGCTTAACCAAAATGCAATTAGAATGTATGTGTATTTAAAGCTAATCGCAGAACCATGTGCTATGCTAAAAAAATTTGCAGCATTTATCAGCATTAATTGAATACACAATTTGAAATGACATGTTCAAAATTAAAACTATAAACTATGAAATGTGTGAATTAAGCATTGTAGTGGTTATCACCAGAAGAAGATGCATTCAATAAATGTGGCATTCGGTAATACAGCTTTATCAAGGGAACATTGTCCTATACATCTTTATTAAATATGGCAGCCACATAATTCAATATTAAGCGTACAAAATAAATGTGGCATTGCCTAATATACTCGTATCTATATCAAATGAACAAATCAGATGTTGCATTACATAGAACATCTATCTCAAGCGCACAAGTTAATGTGGCATTGCATAATATTTCTCTATCAAGTGAACAAACTAATGGAATGGAATGGAATGTACATAGGACAAACACAAATAGGTAATATGGCGACTTTACAGCATTATTGGTAGAGGACGACTTCATGTGCCCTTCCGTGCATTATGTCAGCTACGAAAGGCACGTGGGTAGCATTAATAAAACATAAAATTGCCTAAAACATTTAAATCAAGCTCACAAATATATTTTGGCATTATCTTACACATCTTTATCAAACGCACAAAATAATTTTGGCATTGTCTAATACATCTATATCAAATGAAGATTTCAAGCACAAAAAACATCTATGATAAGCTCACTGACACAAAATAAATGTAGAATTGTCAAATTCATCTTTATCAAGTACACAAATATAATGTGGTATTGCCTTACAAATCTATATCAAACGTACAAAATAAATATGGCATTGCCTAATACATCTATATCAAATGCACAAATCAAATACAGCATTGCCTTAAAACATCGATATCAAGCATCATATGTAGCATTGTCAAATCAAATAATCTATTTTTAAAAAATCAGATTCTTTTGATTTGTAGGAATTTCAATTGATTTCAACCTTAAATCTGTAGACAAATATCAAGTTGAAATTTAAACAACAAATTCATTTTAATAGAGATAAATGTACTTAAAACCTTCTGTTCAATCAATGTTTCTTTCTGATTTGTATTTATCGCTTAACAAACGGTATTTTGAGGTATTTACGACTTCTTCGGTTCCATAAATATATTCATTACGACAAGCGTTGGGAAAATGAAGACATGCTAAATTTAAATCACTCAAAGCAGAAGCTGGAATGTATCGAGGGGAAATATTTTCCAAACAAAAATGTGTTGAAAGTTAAACTAAAATAATTTTTCATTTACAAGCAAGCTGTACAAACACGCACTTGCCATAAAACACACAACGTGTGCTGTAACAATTATAGTTCAAGCGTGTATGTTAGTTTATGTTTGCTTTTATATATATTAAAGAACTAAAATTTCTCTTATTTAAGTCCGTCTCATGAGCCTCGTAGTTCTCATATTTGGCATTATATGTCCTGAATTCAAACAGGTTTACAGAAAAAAACGAGATTCTTGTGGCGGTACACACTAGGTTTTTGATCTAATCCATTAGCTAATTATTTTAGAAACTGTAATTTGCAGATGCCGCTGATATTTTCATTTTTATATGCCCGAAAGAATTTCGGGCATATTATGTTATACCCCCTGGCGTCCGTCTGTCCGTCTGTCCGTCCGTCCGTCCGTCCGTTAGCAATTTGGTTTCCGAAGCATAACTTAAGTTCCATTTGGCCCACAGTATTCAAACTTCATAGGATGATTGCCCATATTGGGTAGAAGACCCCTATTGATTTTGGGGTCACAAGGTCAAGGTCACTATTAGCTAAATACTGAAAATGGTTTCCTGAGCATAACTTAAGTTCCATTTGGCCCACAGTATTCAAACTTCATAGGATGATTGCTTATATTGGGTAAAAGACCCCTATTGATTTTGGGGTCACAAGGTCAAAGGTCAAGGTCACT